ATTTAAGACCTACACGCAAACAAACTCCGTGCCATCGAGTCGCTGCCGACTCATAGCGACTCTACAGGACACAGTAGAACTGGCCCTTCAGGTTTCTAAGACTGTAACTCTTTAGGGGAGTCGAAAACCTCCTCTTTCTCCTTCAGAGCAGCTAGTGGTTTCAAACTACTGACCTTGTGGTTAACAGCCCAGTACAGAACCCACTACACCACCAGGGCTCTTAAGAATAATAATTTGGGACAGCTGTTAATACCAGTTATTCGCCATCATTAAACTGATGGTCAGTAGTAAGATCAATTGTGATTTAGCTGATACATATCCCTGGGCTGTGCCTCTGTGTTGCTGTGGGTGAGAAGGTTCTACTTTCCCATGAGAGTTATAGCTTCTCAGCTGTCTGTCAGACCCAGGGCCTTCCTGTGCCTGCCAGCAGATGGCTCACAGCCGCATCCTGGAGAAAGGCCGAACCCTGTGCCCTGTGGGACCCACAACGCTTTCACAGCAATCACGTGGACATGCGGGGCCAGGGCCGGAGGCTCAGGGCCTGGGTGGCTCCCTTCCTCCTCTAGCATGCCGTTGGCCATGCATAAACAGAGAAGAGAGTCTGCTGATGCAATGGGGTGCCAGGCCCAGATGGGCCGGGGGCGAGCACTGCATCATGTATGATACAGGTCAGGTTGTAAACACCTCGGCTGTCAGCATCCGGCCTCTGCTCCCCACTACCACCTGTGGATGAAGAATCCAGGCACAGAGAGCCGCCTCTTTCCAGTCACGGGGGACTGAGACAGTCTGTTTTCAAATCGCAGAATGTTTACAAGACCCAAGGTAACTTAGAGTGCTTGCTACCGTTAGCCAGGCCAGTTGGGATTATGTGTTTGAAAGTTTAAAATGATCATAAAACTGATCGGGTTTTTAAAAAAATCATTTTATTAAGGGCTCATACCACTCTTATCACAATCCATACATACATCAATTGTGCAAAGCACATTTGTACATTCATTGCCTTCATCATTCTCAAAACATTTACTCTCCACTTAAGCCCCGGGCATCAGCTCCTCATTTCCCAGCCCCGCCTTATAAATCCTTGATAATTTATAAATTATTATTTTGTCATATTTTACACTGTCCAACATCTCCCTTCACCCACTTTTCTGTTGTCCGTCCCCCAGGGAGGAGGTTACATGCAGATTCTTGTAATCGGTTCCCCCTTTCCACCCCACTCTCCCTCGACCCTCCTGGTATCGCCACTCTCACCACTGGTCCTAAAGGGATCATTGATCCTGGATTCCCTGTGTTTCCAATTTCTAGCTGTACCAGTATGCATCCTCTGGTCTAGCCATATTTGTAAGGTAGAGTTGTGATTATGATGGTGGGGGTGGGGGTGGAAGCATTTAGGAACTAGAGGAAAGTTGTATGTTTCATTGTTGCTACACTGCACCCTGACTGCCTCATCTCCTCCCCGCGACCCTTCCATAAGGGGATGTCCAAATGCCTACAGCTGAGCTTTGGGTCTCCACTCTGCACACCCCCTTATTCACAATGATATGATTTTTTGTTCTGTTGATGCCTGCTACCTGATCCCTTTGACAACTCATGATCGCCCAAGCTGGTGTGCTTCTTCCCATGTGGGCTTTGTTGCTTTTGAGCTAGATGGCCACTTGTTTACCTTCAAGCCTTTAAGACCCCAGATGCTATATTTTTTGATAGTCGGGTTCCATCAGCTTTCTTCACCACATTTGCTTATGCACCCCGTTTTTCTTTAGCGATTGTGTCGAGAAGGTGAGCGTCATGGAATGCAGGTTAATAGAACAAAGTGTTCTTGCATTGAGGGAGTACTTGAGTAGAGACCCAATGTCCATCTGCTACCTTAATACTAAACCTATACATATATGCACATAGATCTATTTCCATATCCTCATATATAAATATATTTGATATGTGCATGCCTTTATTTAGACCTCTATAAATTCCCTTTGCCTCCTAGCTCTATCCTCTATTTTCTTTTACTTTCCTCTTGCCCCACTATCATGTTCAGCCTTCATTTGGGTTTCAGTAATTCCTCTCGGTTACATTACCCTTTGTCTCGCCCTACCAGGCTTCCTACACCCTCCTCACCACCAATTTGGATCACTTATTGTTCCTTTGTCCCTGCGTTTGTTAACACCACTTCCTTTCCCCCCACCTCCCCCTCTCCTATGTCCCCCCGGAACTGTCGATCCCGTTGTTTTCTCCTCCAGATTGTTCATCCAGCCTATCTTATTTAGACAGACCTGCAGAGATAATAACATGCACAAAAACAAGATAGAGAAAAACCAAGCAACAAAATAAAACAAAGAAACAACAACAACAAGCCAATGACAAAAACAAACAAAAGAAAACACAACAACAAGAAAGAAAAGCTTGTAGTTAGTTCAAGGACTGTTTCTTGGCCTTTAGGAGTGTTTTCCAGTTGAGTCTGATGGGGCGCCAAGTCGTGGCACCAGTCTATTTTTGGTATTCCCTGGGACTTAGTTACTCTGTTCCCCTTGCTGTTCTGTTCCACGATCTTAGTGTTTTGCCTTGGTGTGGTGGGATCAGATCAGATGGAATTCCCACACTGTGTCCAGCGTTGTTCCCTGTAGGGCTATGTGTCAGTGAGGGATGTCATGTCTCATAGTGGGGCTGGTCACATGGTCGTCTCTGTGGATTGGCTGCTCTGAGCAGGGATCTCGTCCTCAAGACTTGGTGGGCCAGGATGTGTTCCACTCTCTCTTCCTCCCCCTTCATTTGCTCCCGTGTGCTCTGATCAGACATGTCCCTCTCCCTTAGCTGTAGTTACAGTGCTATCCTCTGAAGTAGGTGTCCACGTAGTTGGGTTTGGGGCCGGTCCCTCAGACCTCTCCACTGGTTCCCTAAAACTGAGCAGGTTCTAAAGAGACATGAAGTTACGTGCTACCTGCAACCCAAACCAAACTCACTGCCATTGAGCTGATCCTGACTCATAGTGACCCTAAAGGAGAGGGCATTTCTGTGCGTTTCTGAGGCTGTAACTGCTCACGGGGGTAGAAAGTCCCATCTTTCTTCCGCAGAGCGACTAGTGGTTTCGAACTGCTGACTTTGCAGATTGCAACCCAACTGGTAACCATGGTGTCACCAGGGCTCCTACATGCAACATCAGGGAACCTTCAAAACATGCTGAGTGCAGTCAACCCATCCCAAAAGGAAAACCCGTGTATGATCTCACTTGTACGCAGTACCTAGAATGGCCAATGTGGACAGACCGACATTGGTCAGTGCTTCTTGGGGGACTTCCTTTCTCTTGGTTCCACAATCAATGTTCGTGGAAGCAGCAGTCAAGAAATCAAAGGATGTATTGCATTACGTGCACAAGATCTGCAGCGCAAGGTCCCTGCAAAGTGTCCAAGCGCAAAGATGTCACTTTGAGGGCGAAGGTGTGCCTGACTCACGTCAGGGCATTTTCAAAGCCTCATCGACATGTGGAAGCTGAGCCAGGACTCAAGAGGGCCGGAGAAGAATTGTGGTGGTGGGAAACACGGAGAACACCAGGGATTGCCACCGGCGGAACAAACAAATCCAGTGTCGTAGAGGAAGTAGGGCTAGACTGCTCCTGAGAAGGGAAGCTGGCGCAACTTCTCACCCACTTTGGATCTATTCTCTGGAGGCACTGGTCCCTGGAGAAGGACATCGTGGGTGGGAGAGGGTCCTTGGCAAAGAAGACTCTTGACAAGATGGATTGACCCGAGGCTGCAGCAATAGGCTCAGACATAACAATTGTGATGGTGGTGTGGGGCTGAGCAGGGTGTCATTCTGTTGACCCTCAGGGCTGCATCCTGTTGCACGCAGGGCTACCCTGCACTTGGCTGACTTGAGAGCACCTGACAGCAGCCAGGAGTGAGAGGGATACCACGTGGTGCCAATGGTTTTCGCTGTCTACTGATGCGGGTGCTTAAGCGCTTGAGGACCAGCTGAAAGATTGGTGCCTTGAATGGAATCTACTTTCCAAAGCTCCCAGCCTGGGAAGTTCCACTGTGCACACGGGCCCTCACTCTGCGGCCGCTGACAGTAAGCACGGCCAGCCTGAAGGGTGGTGGTACTGTGGAAGCAAGGCCCGGTGGTGGTCTGCTCTCTCCAGGACTGAGGCGTCCGTCCTCAGCCTCCGTGGGGCCTCCCTGCAGGTCCCCTTCTTCTTCTCTGAGGCATTTTGATTTTGAGGGGAGGGTGTGTTAGTTTGGGCTCTCCAGAGAAGCAGCATCACTGACCCTTGTGTGGGTTGTATATAAAACCCTAAACCCAAACCCACCACCATCCAGTGGATGCTGTGGCTCACAGTGCTACAACAGGCCAGGGTTGAGCTGCGCCTGTGAGTTTCTAAGACTGTGGCTCTTCGCGGGAGCCCCAAACCCTATCTTTCTGTCTATAGTATTGAACACACAAAGAGCACTGTATCAGGAAATGCCTTCGACAGTCGTAGAAGTAGATTAAGTCCAGTCTGGGTCAAGCCAGGCTTCTCCTGACCCTCGGAAAAAGATGAACAGGAAGCAGGATGGTGACCCTGAGGCAGCAGAGGGCACAGGCTGGTGGATGCAGGGCTCTGAGGTGGGCGGAATGAATCCACTGCCTGTAGTCTGTTGATGGTAATCGAGGACCCAGATTCAAGATCCAGTGCCAGCAGAAGAAGCAGGACCAGCAGGAATTAGACTCTGCTCGGTCTCTCCTCCACACAAAGGCCCCGGGGAAGCAAGGCTATTCCTAGACTGAGCCTCACCCCTCCCCTTCCCCAGGAGTGCTCCTCTGTGGGTTTCCGAGGCTGTCCATCTTTAGGGGAGCAGAAAGCCTCACCTTTCTCCCTATGAACAGCTGGTGGCTTCAAACTGCCAACCTTGTGGTTAACAACCCAATACCTATCCCACTACGCCACCCTGTAGGAGACGTGGGTTTGATTCCTGGTCAGCGCACCTCATGTGCTGCCGTCTCTTGCCCATTGGTGACCTCTGCATGTTTCCATGACGCTGAACACCTTTCACCAGACCGTCCAGAAGGCGAGGAAGAAGAGGCTGGTAGGCTTTGCTCTGCAGAACAGGGGGGGCGGGGGATGCCTTGGCAACCTGTAAGGATGAGTCCCACTGTGTGGGCTACAGAGAGGGGAGCTCAGAAACACACTGGTGAATAATATGGACCCGTGGAGACCCAGAGTCCATCGGTAGTCAATTGGACATCCCCTGTCAGAAGGGCCACATGGAAGAGAAGAGCCAGTCAGGGTGCAGTATAGCACCGACGAAACATACAACCTTCCTCTGGTTCTTTAATGCTCCCCCCCTCCCACTACCATGACCCCAAATCTATCTTACAAATCTGGCTAGACCAGAACATGTACACGGGTACAGATAAGAGCTTGCAACACAGGGAATCCAGAGCAGATAAACCCCTCAGGACCAGTAAAGGGAGCAGCCATACTAGGAGGGCAAGGGGGAGGGTGAGAGTAAGGGGGCACCGATCACAAGGATTGCTGTATGTCCCCCCTCTCAGGGGGACAGACAGCAGAAAAGTGACTGAAATGAGACAGCAGGTGGTGTAAGACATAACAACTAAGAAGAATAATTTATAAATTATCAAGGGAACCTGAGGGGGGAAGGGTGCGGGAGGGAGGGGAAAACAAAATGAGGAGCTGATGCCAGCGGCCCAAGTAGAAAGAAAATGTTTTGAAAAAGATGATGACAACATATATACAGACATGTTTGATACAGTGGATATATGTATGGATTGTGATAAGAGCTGTAAGAGCCCCCAATAAAAGAAAATTAAAATTAAACAAGATATGCAAATAATACTAATTTATAATTTATCAAGGGGTCCTGAGGGGGGGGATGGAGGAGGGAGGGAAAAAAGAGGAGCTGATCCTAAGGGCTCAAATAGAAAGTAAATGCTTAGAAAATGATGATGGCAACATATGTACAAATATGCTTGATATGATCAATGTATGGAATGTAATCAGAGCTGTACGAGGCCCCAATAAAATGATTTTTTTAAAAGAAAAAAAAGATGCAAATGGAAATAAACTTTATTAAAATACCAAAAAGCCAAAAGAAAAGAAGAACCTGGACCCAAGTGGGCCAAGGGCAGCGCCCGCGCCTGTGATACCCTTGTCACAAACACACAAGCCCACTTGCAGGCGGGGTGGACAGCCGGTAGAGGGCTCAGCCTCTCCCTGCAGGGGCACGTTGTCCTGGCCTCAGGGCCAGGGCTGTGGTCGCAGGAAGCGCCCTGCAACCCGGGTGCATATTCAGTGGGTTCTGTCCCCTTTGCTGGCTCCTGCCTATTCAAACAGCCACCTGGAAGGGCAGTGAGGGTGGCAGTGGCAGTGGCAGCGGCAGCTGCAGCAGGGGACACGCAGCCGGAGAGAGAAGAAGACAGGGTCTCCCCCAGGCTGAGGGCGTCTCTGAGGAGACCACCATGGACAGGCGGCCTTGGAGCACGTTCATCCTCTGCTGGCTGAGCCTCCTACCGACTGTGAGTAGCTGCCCCAGAGCACCGTGCTGAGCACCGTGAGCAGATGGGCCCATGAGAGCCTGCAGAGGCCTGCCACCCGTGCCCAGCCTCGTTGGGGGGGGGAGGGGGGCAGCCTGTGCCACCTCCGGGGAGGTGACCTTCTGTGTGTTGAGCCAGCTCCCTGCTGCTCCCCCCAGGGCTTCCTGTGCCGTCTGGGGACCACGCAGACCTGCCTGCCCCTAGGCAGGTCTTAGAACTGGGGAGACAGAGTTATACCCCGAGTCTCCTCTGTCTCCCACATTTGAACCAAATCCCACTCATGGTGGTGCCTGTGGCTCTCTCCGAGTAGAACAGCACCCCGCGGAGTTCTCCGTGGCTGCTTTTTCTGACAGAGATGACCAGGCCTTTCTTCCACGGTACCTCCGGGACACACAGACCTCCAACCTTTTGGTCGGCATCTGAGGGTGTACACTAGTCACACCGCCCGGGGAACCCTTCTCCTCAATAGCTACACACATTGCCCCTCTGAGAAGGCTTCCGGGGTGGTGTTTTCCCGGACATGATACCCCAAACCTGATATGTCCTTTTAAAAATGTGTGGCCCCTGGGACCTTGGGGCCAAGTCAGGTCTGAGATGTGTTTGGAGCACCAGCTGCTCCCCTCTGGCCTTGGGGGGCTTTTCCTCTCATCAAACCAAGTCCAAACGCCCTGCCATCGAGTCGATGCTGACTCAGTGCCCCTCCAGGAGAGGGTAGAACCGCCCCTGTGGGTTTCCAAGACCACAGTTCTCTATGGGAGTAGAAAGCCCTGTCTTTCTCCCGAGGAGCAATGGGTGGTTTTGAACAGCTGACCTTGAGAATTGCAGCCTGACGTGTAACCACTCCACCACTGGGGCTCCCCTAAGAAGCACTTGGTGGCCAACATTGACCCAGGGCCCAGCATGCTGGAGAATGGGTACAGGTCAGAGGGACCTGCTCTACCCTCCGTGAGAATCGCATGTCTTTTCCACGGTGTTCCAGCCCACGACAGCAGGGGCCAGGAGGGGAGCCAGAAGGTACCAGGTGGGAGCTTCTCACAGCCACTGGGACTAAGGTCTCCTTTGCTTTGGCAGCGAGCTCCATGGGAGGGGCTGCCGCCACCACCACCAGCACCCCCCCCCCCCAGGGACACCTGTCTTGGCTCCATGAGACAAGCTGGGTGACCCAGGGCACGTTGCTCTCCCTTCTTAAGGCCCACTTGCTGCTTTTGTCCAGAGGACACTTCCTGGCTACTTGCAGGGCAATTGTACCTTGAACGAGGGTGGGTTTGCCAAGGGCAGGCCATGGGGACCTCCTAGACTGTCTTCCTGGTATGGACCTCTGCCCCATCTCTTTCACCACACACTGAATGCTTCCTGTATAGAGGGGGCCTGATGCCCTCTGCTGGTCACTCAGCCGCCAGCACCGGTGCTCCGTCCAGCGTGGACTCCACCTCCCTTCCCCAGGCCAGGCCTGTGTCCAGGGAGATGAGAAGGCGTGAGCTGGGGTGGCCCTGTGGGGCATCCTGTGGGAGGAGGGGCTGAGCTGGGGGTCGGTCTTGGCATGGTCAGTGGCTGCCTTTTAGCTGGCCCTGAGTGGACAGCTACCCTCAAGGTCAGCAGTTGGGAACACCAGCCACTCTGCAGGAGAGAGAGGGAGCGTTCTACTCCCGTGAAGAGTGACAGTCTCAGAAACCCACAGGTCGGTTCTGTCTGGTCCTGTTGGGTCGCTGGGAGCCACCATCGACTCCATAGCAGTGAGCTGAGTTGTTCAGTTTTGAGTCTTTGTATCCTGGGTGGTTTTCCTCCTTCGCGGAGGGAGGTAGAGGCTGGCTGTCCTTCCTCAGGTGGGAGGGAGGCTGTCCACCACTACCCTAGTTCCCCTGGCCTCTGTGGCTCCTCAGACTGCCTCCGATATGTCCCTAAGGGGCTGGGGCTCCTCTGAGAGTGGACAAAGGAAGGATGATTGGGGACAGCAGCGTCTAAGCACCCCAGGGGCACAAACATGTCCTGGTGAGGGTTCCCTGCCCCTCCACCTCCCTGCATTCCTGTGCCTGGTGGGCTGCCAGCAGGAGAGACTGGGGCCCCCACAGAGCTGAGCTCACTGAGTTTGTGGGAGAGGCCACAAGTAGAAGCTGGGCACCCATCAAAATGGGGACTCTGGTACTGGGTGGTGGGCACAATCCGCAGCCTGGGCACCATGGGGCCATGAGAGAGAGGGCAGAGCTCCGAGCAGTTGAGCCCAAGCTGGATTTGGGGCATTGGTGTCAGCAGGCCAGAGACTGGGGTGGCCTCCCCTTCAGGGCCAGGGCTGGGAGAGGTGGCCCCACTCGCTAGGCTGCGTCAGTTCCGCCCCTCCCAGCCCATTGGTCTGCAGTGAGGTCCTTGGGTCCCTCTTGAGTGGTCCCCTCCTGCCCACTGTCCCCACTCTGGGGTTGAAGTCACCACTCTGCACTCTCCATGTGCCCTGTTTCAGACGGGACCGCTGTTGCCAGTTGCCCTTGAGCTGGCTCTGACTCATGACGATCCATACCCTTCACAGTCCTCAGTCACCTTTGTCACCGCTCGTCTGCAGTCCACGGCCGAGGTCACCCTGTACTTTGAGTGCCTTCCAAGCCATGGCGCTCATCTCTCTGCACGGCATGGGGTCACTATTCGGCTGTGAACCCACAGGGTTTCCATGGCTACTTTTGAAAGTAGGTTGCCAGGCCTTTATTCTGACTGTGTCTCAGAGTGGAAGCTCCACTCGACCTACCCAACGAGGAGCCCTGTAGGTTTTTGAACATTGCAATATGTGCTGTAGTAAGACGGGAACCCCAGAGAACTTAGGAATGGTGCACACGAAATACTCCACACTTTTATTAATTTTCCTGTTTCTATTCATATTTCCTTCCTCCTTCTTCCTTCCTACCTTCCTTCCATCCATTGTCCCATCCATCCATCCACCCACCCACTTATCAAAACATCCAGCCAGCCATCCACTTATCAAAACATCCATCCATCTATCCATCCATCCATCCATGCATCTGTCCATCCATCCATCCACTAATCAAAACATCCATCCATCCGTCTGTCCGTCCGTCCATCCATCCATCCATCTATCCATCCATCCATCCATCCATCCACTTATCCAAACATCCATCCATCCATCCATCCATCCACCCATCCATCCACTTATCAAAACATCCAGCCAGCCATCCACTTATCAAAACATCTATCCATCTATCCATCCATCCATCCATGCATCTGTCCATCCATCCATCCACTTATCAAAACATCCATCCATCCGTCTGTCCGTCCATCCGTCCATCCATCCATCCATCCATCCATCCATCCATCCATCCATCCATCCACTTATCAAAACATCCATCCATCCATCCATCCATCCATCCATCCATCCATCCACCCATCCATCCACTTATCAAAACATCCATCCAGCACACTTTACATGTGCTGTGAGCCAGGCAATATGATACCAAATCAAACCAAACTTACTGCCATGGAGTCGATGCTCACTCATAGCGAACACATCGGTCAGAGTAGAACTCTCTCTGTGGGGTTCTGGGACTGTAACTCTTAACAGGAGTAGAAAGCCTCATCTTTTTTCCACAGTGCTCTGAGGTTTCGAACTGCTGACCTTGTGGTTAGCAACCCAATTTGTGACTCCTAAGGCCATGTGGTTAGGGGTACTTAAACAGATCAGGCTTTGTCTCTGGGGGCAGGTGATCTGGACCAGAGAACCTACAAGGGGCACCAATGGGTGTGGGTCATGCTATAGCTCTTCCCGGCAGGCCCTGGTCCTCGTGCACCCAGAGTGCGACTTCATCTCACAGCTGAGAGAGGACGAGCATGCATGTCTGCAAGCAGCCAGGAGGATGCCGAACAGCACCTCGGGTACGGGCTCCGGAGGGAAGTGGAGGTGGCAGGGTGGAGGAGGCTTCTCTGACCCCTGGATCTCCTGCAGCCTCGGACTCTGAAGACTGGATGAACTCTGACCTCTGCCCCCCTCCCTCTAGGCTGCCCTAGCACCTGGGATGGGCTGCTGTGCTGGCCAAAGGCAGCCTCTGGCGAGTGGGTGAGCCTCCCCTGCCCAGATTTCTTCTCTTACCTCAGCTCAGAGCCAGGTGAGGGGCCTGGATGTGGTGTGGTGGGGGAGGGAGGTTATTTCTTCCAGCCTCGGCAGAACATGCTCAGGCCATCCCTCCTGGCTTGGGGGCAGGTCAATCTGCACTTCACCCCCCAACTGCCCCTCTTCTAGTGTGACTTCGGGTGAGTCAGACAGCCTTCAGACCCTCGGCTTCCTTACCTGTAAACAAAAACAAGAAGAGCTTTACTATCCAAGCTTCGAACCAGCCAGAGTGTAGGCACCATGCCCAGTGGCCATCCGGCACGGGGCCACTGCTGTCTGGCTGCAAACAGGAATGCTGGTGGCCCAGGTGGCGCTTGGCAGGGTCCCTCCATCCATTCATCCTGCTCAGAGGAAATGGCCGCTGGGTGCCTTTGCTCCCTCTGCCTCCTGGATGGGTGTCACACAGCCCTTAGGGCCCCGGGGGCCCAACTTACTCTCTTGTGCTCCCCACCCATTCCTCCACAGGTATCTTCAAGGGGAAGCATGCTGAGTGTCGATGGTGTGGCGGTTACACAGTGGGCTGCTAACCACAAGGTCACTAGTTCGAAACCACCAGCCGTCCCGTGGGGGAAAGATGAGGCCTTCTACTCCCATAGAGTTAGAATCTGGCAAACCCACAGGGGCAGGTCTATCCGGTCCTGTAGGGTCGCTCTGAGTTGGAGTCGACTTGATGGCAGGGAGTTTGGCTTCTGGTTTGCCCGGCTGGTGGTTCTGAGGCCGCGGAAGGCTGACCAGAGAGACTGGCCTGGGACCTAGTATCTGGAGGGGAGGCCAGGATCTCTGCTCTGTGCGGATGCTGCCAGGGTCACCTGAAGGTGTCCTGGTGAGAGGGGACGGGGTTAAAGTCCGGGACTCTTTTTCCCACCTACCCTCCTTTACTTTCGTTCTTTCTTATCTTGATCATTTTATTATGATCTGGGTGAAAGTATATCGAGCAAACCAGTCTCTGAGTCACCGACTCGTGCACGTTTTATGACCTTAGTTGCAATCTCTTCAATCGATGGGCATTCTTCCATGCCCTCCCTGCGCACCCCAGCTCCATTCGCCCCTCTTTCTTGACCCTCCCTGCCTATTGAGCTTTGTTGGTGAGAAAATACTGCCTTTGAGTCTCATTTCCTCGACTGCTCCGAGCAACGTATTTCTCATGGGTGTTCGTGTCCACTCTATTTAAAAACCAATCTTGCCCCATGGTTCCGACTCATAGTGACCCTATAGGCCAGGGCAGAACTGCCCCGGTGGGCTTCCCAGACTCTAACTCTTCACAGGAGTAGAAAGTCTCAGCTTTCTCCCTTAGAGAGGCTGGTGCTTTTGAACAACACCACCATGGCTTCTTTACACTGGACTAGGGCGCTGAAACATGTGGATTGTAATCCTCACTCAGCCACTGGGGAGGCAGGCAGTTTGAAACCTCCAGCCCTGCAGGCCTGTCTCTTGTTTGGCCGACGGTGGTCTCCGGGAGTGAGCTCCCCTCCAGGTTTAAAGGGGTCCCAACCATAGCCAGGGCTGCCACCAGTCTGTGTCGGGCAGTGAGTCTGTCCTTCTCGTGTGTGAGCTTGCGTTCTGTTCTACAGCTCACCCCTGTGTCCAGGGACTTCCATGAGATCCCGGTCTGAGCAGGAAGCCATGCTCCCCGGGCCCCCGGCTAGTTCTGCTCACAGTGCAGACTGGGGCTCAAGTGGCTCCTTAGTTCTTCGGATCCGCTGGCTCCTTGGTGCGCTGATCTCCTTCACGCTTCTTGACTCCAAGCACAAGGAGACCAAACGACGTTTTAGAAACAATAGTTGTTTATAAGCTTTTAAGACCCTGGTCACTGCTCACCAAAGTAGGATGTAGAACATTGGACTACATGTTTGCTGACTGACCTCGATGTCCCCGGGGGCCATGGTCCTAAGGCCCAGAAGCCTAGTACCTCAGTCCCGCAAACTGTTTGGTTAGGGCTGAAGACCTTTCATGGCTGTGCTCGCTATGTGCTCTGGCTATATGTGCAGCACAGACAAGTGTGAATGTCAGTCGACAATCTGCCAAACCTATCTGGGCTATGCATCTCTCACACATTCCATTTATGAACTGAGGAATGAATCCGGTCCTAGACGGTCGCTTCTTATTACTGTCTGTGCAGGGCTGTGTGTGCAGCAGTACTTAACCCTTGTAGCCTTTTAGCCTCTCGTGTGTCCCAGCGTTGTCCTTCACCTTGGTCATGCTGTGCTGACCTCCCTCTTATCATTGCCTTTCCCTTTCCCCAGTCAATAGATGGCTACTATGTGGGTTGCTAACCTTTAAGGCCAGCAGTCCTAATCTACCAGCCAGTCCATGGGAGAAAGATGAGGCTTTCTACGACCCTTGTTAGTCTGGGTAGACTAGAGAAACAAATCCAGGGAGACTCATATGTGTGTAAGAAGGAGTTTTATATCAGAGAAAGAGTTTTATATCAAAGAGTAATTATACATTAAGAAAGCATCCCAGCCCATTGCAGATCAAGTCCATAAGTCTGATATTAGGCCATATGTCTGATACCAGTCTATAAATTCCTCTTCAGACTCATGAAACACATGCAATGACACTGAGTGCAGGAAGATCACAGGCTGGTGGGTGGAAAGTCTTGTGCATCCAGTGGCAGTGGAAACATCTCAGTGCTGGCTGGGGTCTCCATGTGGCTCCTCCAACTCCAGGGCTCTAGCATAGCTCCCTGTGTCTTGTCAAGGAGTGTGTGTGTGTGTGTGTGTGTGTGTCTGCCTTCAGCGAGGTATTTATCTCCTTAGGGTCTCCACAGGCTAAACCCCACCCCTTTACTCTTTAGTCTCAAATTGACAGCAGATAGGTAACTACCACACCCCTACAGAATTGCAGTCTGAGAACCCCACAGAGGCAGTGATACCCTGCCCTATAGGCTCGCTGTGAGTCGCAATTGACTGTATTGAAGCGAGTTAGGTTGGGAACCAGTTAGTTGCCCCGTGGGTGGTAAGTAATGTGAAACAATGTTTCTTTCTGTGTGTGTAAACCTTCCCTCACATTTTTATACTGGGGCCTTCATACCATAGCTGTCCTTCTGTGATGGACCTATTTCACCCAGCATCATGTCCTGCAGATGCATCCACGCGGTGAGAACCTCTTTCTTTTCAGGGGCTGTGAAGCGGGACTGCACCATCGCGGGCTGGTCTGAGCCCTTCCCGCCTTATCCCGAGGCCTGCCCCGTGCCCCTGGAGTTGCTGGCTGAGGAGGTGAGGGGCTCCAGACTTCAGGGACCCTTCCTGGGGGGCATTTGCCTGGGTGGTGGGCTGCCTAGCCACTCTTTTCTGCAGCCAGTGTCAGATGGGAATGTGATCACAGCGGTCTTCCAGCAGATGGCAGTAACGAGAACAGAGGACAGGGACCCCGGGCTCTTTTGCTCTAAGTAGGTGGGGAGGCCACCTTCCTGTTTGCTCAAAGGAGAAGGGAAATGCGCTGGCCACCGTCCCTTTGGAGTCCCCCTCTCTGTGCCAAGGCTTTGGAGGTTTACCAAAACCCACACTCACCGCCACGGAGTCGGTGCTGACTCAGTGACCCTATAGGACCGGGTAGAACTGCCCCTGTGGGTTTCTGAGACTGCCGCTCTTCACAGGAGTAGAAAGCCTCATCTTTCTCCCACAGAGAAATCCACCCATCTGCTGGTGGATTCAATCAGCTGCCCTTAAAGAGGGAATTAGAATGCCTGTCAGACACCCGAAGCCCCGTCACTTATAACTATAAGCACAAAGACCGAGGAGCTTGTACCAGAAAGACTGTAAGCACGTGTGCCCATTAATCTGAACACACACACACACACACACACACACA